CATCGATCTCTAACTCGCCGTGGTCCTTCAAGCACCTCACCTGGAAAACACACAAACATGACAGTGTGAGCGTCATGAAGTCGGGCTGCAGTTGGAGGTCAGAGGAGGAACAACTGGAGCATCTCACCTCAATGTAAAGGCTCTTTGGAGGCTTCATGTCCTGAGTGATATCCAGACCACCGTCCCTCAGAGAGCGCATGAAGGAAGCCAGAGACTTCTTATACTGACTGAACCACTGCAGCTGAGACACACACACACACACACACACATTCTCTTCATGTGGAAAGACTCATAGTAAAAAATACAACAAAGGAGTGAAAAGCGTCCCCACTACTTCCCATGGTGACATCTTCAAACACTTTTTGTATTTGTTGTATTTGGCCGGTAGTCTAACCAGATTTACCTCTTAAATGTAGTAAAGTCCAGATATGAAGTAGAGTACCCAAGTACAGTGCTTGAATAAATGTTCTGGTAATTACCCAATATCACACCTACTGTTTATTATAATCACATACTTTGTGTCGCCTCCTGTGTTTCCCAGGTTTACTGATGTTTACAACTCGGTACCAGTGTCAGACCTCCTGTTTGGGCCCACCTGAGCTGATGACTCACCTCCTCTGCACACATGTGGAACTGGACGCTGCCGGGCAGGACGCTGCCATATTCCCACCGCAGGGCTCGGATCCTCAGCATACGGTCGTAGCTGACAGAATAAACACGTCATCTTTAAAAATTATCTTTAAATGTGATGGTCACATGATGCACAGGTGTGAAAGTTACAGGTAGGCAGTGAGGCAGCGCTGGTTCCTCAGCAGGCAGCAATGACGCAGTTTGATGGAGGGCATCAAGTCGGCTCGATCTGCAGACTTCACCTCGTTCCTGAAACACAAATAGAGAGACGTGATGAATCTTCACCAGTCTTCAGCAGCGCACAAGGTGTTTCTCCTCCTAAAAAACATAAAGTGTAAACTTTGACAGACTATCAAGTAAAACAAGACAACAAGAGATCACATGAACAGTGTCTTAAAACCTTTCTGAGCACTCACACATCTCGCTGGTTCTGTTCGTAGAGTGTCTGCATCTCCTGTAGAACCTGCCGCAGTCCATCTTCCTGAAAACACACAAAATTTCAGTTTTTACTGTTTGAAGTTGATTTAAACTCGAACAGGTTCCACTAGAGTTCATCACAACAATGCATCAGATCCTGCTCACGTTTTAAACCTCGTGTGTAAAACCTTTTCCTACTGAATTTAATTCAAAACTCCTGCTTTAAGTCGAAGCCGAAACGTGATATAGCTTCTATGTTGTATAAAAATCTATCGGGGGTATTCCTATGACGCGTGTGTTTCTGTTGCTCACCACCATAAGTTTAAAATGTCCGATTTCTGAATGAAGGTCGCGGTTTTAGCAGCTCAGAGAATGACGGAGCGTTACTCACATTAAACGCAGGCAGTTGTCCGTCGCTCATCCGGTGCAGCTCTCTGATTAATTCTATGGCTTTTTCACAAAACATCGTGAGATCGTAAAACAAACAAAAAGCACAAAACTAATTTCAACTATTTTCAAATTAACTAAGCGGGTAGTTTACTTTCGCGGCAACGCTGTATTGTGATCACGTGACACGATGACGAGGCGCTACGGCTGCCTCTTTAGCTCAAACGTCAAACAGAAAAACGACCTGCCACTGCAGCATTTTAACATTTACATTTAACACAGATATGCAGTGAAGCCGCTTTATAATTAGTAGACTGAGAGGTAAGGATGTGCACTTTATTTCTGTTGAGAAGTAGGGTCTTAAACCAGCAGTTTATCACCGTAACAGCACAGCTTGTAAGCCCGCAGTGTGGTCTCGCTTAGCGAAAAGGGCGAAAACTAAAATTAAACCGAGAAACACCTTCGCATGAGAGCCACCACAGCCATAAAAACGAAGTGTGTGTGCTCGTATTAAACTGTTATGTAAGTGTAATATAATACAGTGGTTTGTTATATCGCTTTTTAGCTTCACTGCTAACTACGTCGCTCCTTTTGGTGCTTCATTCGGGTTCCACTGGAAAAACCAGATTTTGTCTTCAGGTTTGAAATGTTAGTTTGACTTTCCGGCACATTTGGTTTTTGATTTCAGCATAAGGACTGTTTTTAAAACGATTATTCGATCAGAAAAATATCGGCATCTACTTTGATAGTCGATTGTCATTTTCCAATCAAATATTTTAAACGTAAAATACTCAGATTCCAGCGTGTCAAATGATGGCGATCTCACTTTTCTGTTGTATACAATGCACCGTGTAATTCAACGGGATTTCCACTTTTAAAGTAAAATATCTGAGTACGTCTTCCACCACTGGGGAAACGGCAGATCGATTTATCCCTACTAGGAATTATTATTAACGATCATAAGTGCCATCATTTAAGATTTTTCAGTTAAAAGGCCAATTGTTTGCTACTTTTTAGCCTTGTTACATTTTCTTTTCTGTACTTTGGTTCGTTTTGTTGTTTGCACCCAAAAAGATCGAGAGTAGTGAGAGAACTCTCTGTATATACACTGTATATACATAACCTTATGAAGTGCATTTGAAGGCACCATCTATCTTTTCTATGAACTGATTCTGTTTTCGTTGCCGTTGCTCCGACGCTCCCCAGAGGACGTGGACGCAGCACAAAGAGACCACGTGGTTGAGTTTCTGCTTCATGATTGGTTGCGACTGCTCGGTGCAGATCAGCTGCTCCCTGCGGATGTCAGTGCAGAGAGAGCACGAACAGCAGGAGGTATAGTGGGGCTCAGCTCCGTCTTTACCGGCTCCCACTGCTCCGTCAGCATCGGTCTCCTCCCCGCTGACAGGCCCGCAGCAGCGGCTCCGTAGTCGCTTTTTCCCGTGTAACACTTGTTTCTTTAACGTTTCCAGTGATGCGAAAGCGGAATAACCCGCTGGAACATGACAGCGGGACCACCGGCACTTTGCTGCACAACAAGGACCTGAAGCAGCGTAACGGCAGAGGAGCAGCAGGGCCCGCAGCGGGCGACCGGCAGGGCCCGGGAAAGGAGCGGAGCATGGGGAAACCGTTCAGGAGGTGAGACCGGGAACCGGGACAGACGTGTCAGCACCTGCATCTGTTAGTCTGTCTAAAGAGGTTATTTACTGTGTTTAGTTGAAACTGTAAGAACATCAGGGACAAACGCTTTGCTCTAAGATAAGTGACCGCTTTAAACAAATGGCGTGAAGTTAATAGATTTTATATTTAAAAAGGCAGTTTCAACATAGAAATAAGTCTTTTTGAAATACTAGTTTTAGATTTTAAAATATACTTCAAACGTCCTAATCTAGTCCAATAAACAGATTAAAATACAACAATTAGAGATGAAAATAACACATTTACATTAAAATAAAACATTTAAATAAGTGCAAAATTAATGTAAATCAAATATGAAGAACCAAACGCATTAATAAGGACATTGAAAAATAAATGAATACATGAATAAAAAATAAATGAATAAATAAATTCAGACAAAACAAGCAAAATGGGGCCACTCAACATATCCCATTTTAAATTTTAATGGTTGGTAATATGCTAATGTATAATTTCACAATCTCCTCAGAAACTTTGCTTCTTTTTTTTAAAGGTTTTGTTTGAATATCTGAAATTTTTACCAACTATTTATACACCCACATTAAACCGGTTTTTAGACTCTGAGCTGACGTGACTCCAGCTGACTAGTCAGACTGGTTTCACAAAGATGGATGAGCTGGTCAGACTGGAAGCTGCAGATGAGTTGGAACAGAGCTGCACCGTGAAATGTGACTTTTGTGTTGCTAATCTTCTGGGTGGAAACAACACACAGGCACGTTAGGGAACAGAAGAGGTGAAGGGAAAACTTAAAGCCATAAGTCACAGCGTCCCCACTACGAGCAGCTCCTGTGTGCGGTGTCCCCATGGACGTACACACAACTGTCACTGGATCCATGTGACACTGAAGGGAACTTAGAAACAGGAGGACTCTCGGGCAGGTTCTCCAGCCTCTGCTCTGGTTTCTCAGTGAGGTTATGGAGGTTCATTGTGTTTCCTGTCTGTGTGTCCTCACCTTACTGAGGTAGGACTCCGAGAAGGACGAGGACCAGGTTGGATTTGGTGTCTCTGCGGCGCTCCCAGGGAGACTTTTTTCAACCCAGCAGCCACTTGATCTAAATGCTGGAGGTCCAGATTGATAACTCTGAAGCTGATCGGCTTTGGTTATTGACCTGGGAGAGTCTGGCCACCGTTTCCAGTGCAAACCTTCTCTCCCTCACAAACAAGCATTTCCTGCTTTTCTTTTTAATATTTTAAGCACTTTTCCTGGTCATACTCATGTACTGCTTTTGAATGCATGACTTTTACTTGAAAGTGTTTCTACTCTGACTTAAGTAAAAGCTGAGTGTTTCTTCAGCCACTTGTCCACACGCTGATCTTTGGACATGTCAAACAGTCTGACTGGCAGGTTTTGACTTCTTATGCTGTGATCTCAGTGACTACACTGCTGTTGTTCCCTCTGCACATTAAGGTTGCAGGACTTTCAGAGGGCTGTTTGTCCATGCTGGTGTTTCTGTGTGTAAATGAGTCTCTGCTAAGCTGAACAGCTGTAGATTTATTGCTCACTGTGTGAAGATGTGCATACACAGGTTATAAAAACACAGTTTTCTGGTTGCTACAGTCCCCACACACACACACACTTAGTCTGTACTTGATACACGAGGCTCCTGATTTGTGTCCTGATGAGTTTACGCCTCCTCTCCTGTCTAATCCTCATTAGAGCTGCTCTGCAGCTTAAACTCCAGCAGGAGGTTGACCTGAACTAAAACGGTAAGATGCTGGTAGAGGACACTGCAGGGCGTTAGAAGAAGAAGCTTTATTTTATTGTCACTGTAACACGTACAACGGAATTTTGTTTGGAGCCGAGGAGCCGAGGGGCCCTGGGCCGCTGCGTGCATGTGCACTGCCATCACGGGCAACTTGGGGGTTCAGTGTCTTGCCCAAGGACGCTTCAACATGTGGACTGCAGGCACCAAGATTCGAACCTTCAACTTTCCGGTTGGGAGACGACTGCTCTGCCCACCGCCCCACTGTCACCTCCCTTAGTTAGTGCCTGTGAGATGCAACAGCAGAGCATCAGGACATGACAGATGCTGTCTGATGAAGGCTGCAGCTCCTCCTCAACTGCAGGGGTCAAGGACAAAAATGAGACTAAAATATCTTTAGACCCTGTGACTACAGCTGAGAAAAGTGACTAAAACTAAAAGATCAAACTCACCTGGCTGCTGCTGGAGGGCTGAAACAGAAACGTTCCATCAGGTGCATACAGCTGCTTCCACATGAGTGCACGAGCCTAATGTCTGCTCCCACAGTTTGACATTCATATGCAAAAGTTAATTTGAAGTAATAAGAAGTAACTCCAACCCTGCAGCCAACAGACATTAAAAAGAGGCCTTCTTCAGATGCTGATGTTACACAGTAGTTGTGGCGTGCACAACGGTGTGGGACCCAGACTGGGTCAGTGCTCAGTGACGTCACCTCATCTGTCAGTGTGGATCGGATTACTCCTGTAACAGCAGCTTAGCTCAGACATCCAGAAACACAGTCTTAAACACCGGCCAGTTAAAAATGAAAACAGAGAAGTTGTGGCATCTGTACAGCTGCTAAAACAGCAGAATGCTCCTTTAAAACGCTGTAGTCAGTTTGTGCAGGTTTCAGGTGTTGTGCCCTTTAAAGAGATGTGAAATCTAAATTAATGCAACTTTATTTATAAAGCACAGTTCACACAAAAAGTACAACTCAAGCTGCTGCACACCAATCAAGTCCAAAAGAAACCTAACAATAAAGCAGTAAAACAACTGACCGTGTGTGCAGTGTCGCCTGCACATGAGCAGGAGACCAGAGCGTGAGGACGTCAGGGGTCTGAGGCACCAAGATTCGAACCTTCAACTTTCCGGGTACACAGTCGTGGGTCAGCAGTGTGAAGAGCAATGGGCTGAGCACACACCCCTGTGGAGCCCCTGTGCTCAGCGTGATGGTCTTAGGGATGTTGCTGTCGACCCGCACATTTTGTGGCCTCCCTGTTAGAACGTCCAGCACCCAGCTGCAGAGAGAGGTTTTGAGTCTGAGGTGTCCAAGTTTGTGTGTAAGCAGCTGGGGAATGATTGTGTTGAATTCTGAACTGAAGTCTAGGAACAGCATTCACATGCAAGAGTTCTTTGAATCTAGGTGGGTGAGGGCTGGATGGAGAGCAGCAGTAATGGCATCCTCTGTGGATGGTGACCCAAGTCACACCTGTGACAGAATGAGAACACATCTGGGTTTTAGACCACTTGTCTTTAATGTTCGAGGCCGGACGTCTGCTGACGTGTCACGGATTTGATTCTTGCGTCACTGAGCGGTGTCATGACTTTCCAGCTGATTGAAAGAAGAAGTGTGCTTCCTATTGGGCTGAGTCAGCGTCTGACTTCTCACATGACTTGAAGTGACCTCACTTACCCATTCCTGATTCAGCAGACACACTGCTGACCTCTGACCTTTGCAGTACTTTGTCACATGCACCATCATACATCTTATTCATATCGAGAGGCCAGCAGCACCAGTGAACGTGGTGTCCTCACCGTGTTGTGTGTGAGTCCAGACCCGGGTTCAGCTCATCGCTCTGTGCCGTAGACCTCCGCTGTCGTCCACCAGCTATTAACCTCACACAAGCAGCTCCACGGGCTGAGAACGGGCGTCACTTTGTACAGCGTCACTGAGCTCTGCCTGCACTGCCCAGGGCAGCGTGTTGGAAAACCTCTGGGCCTTGTTTGAAAATGAAACCGTATGTTTGTGAGGGGTTTTTACAGATTTACTGTACATCTTCAGTGGGAACAAGTCGGCCTGGAGCAGACAGGAAGTCAAAAGGTGCCAAGAGACAGACTAACATGTGAGAACAGTCCTGGATAAATCCCATTTCCTTTTAATAGCAGACATGTTTCCCTCACTTGTCTTTTCTTTGTGTCTTAGTCCCGCCCACATAAGATGCGAGGAGGCAGGTTTTAGACATGGGGTGTCCTCTTCTCTGATCCTTCATCTGAAGCATCCAATCACCAACTGATTTCCGATGAAGGGGCGTGTCACTCCATAAGACTTTGGCGAGGATGCAGTTGTGTATCCTCACTCACAGCTCCTCAGAGCTTGAGCAAGAGCGTAGGGCGTCGTTTAAGATCGGAGACCAGAGCGACTTCAGGTCGAGTGAGGAGCGATCAAATAAGGAAACTGGGATGTAGCTGTAGGATGTTGGAAGCTGTGGCTGCATTTGTTTTGCAGGAATCTGAAGCACTCAGTGAACCCACTGTAGAAGTCTTCAGAAGTTTTCCAGGTGATGGATGTAAAAAAATAAAAACATCTGCAGTCTCCTTGACTCGCCGTTAGGGTTGCAGCTAACAGTTATCTTCATTACTGATTCCTTGGAGGCAGATTGTTTTCTGTTCATCATTTAGTTTATGAAACATTTTGCTGCATCTTCAAACATCTTGTTTGACCAATGTTGAACAATCCCCTGATGTTAAGGATCAATGATACATGACAAAGAAAAGCAGCGTCATTCCCTCAGACACCTGGTTCCTCTGCAGGAGTCTCCTTGCTGACCGGTCACTTATCAAATGACTGCAGATTATGTCTCCGTCAATCAAACGATCGACTAATCAGTTCACCTCTGCACCGTGTGTGGCGTTCACTGACTGCCAGTACTGTAGGATTCTTCAGGATTTTCACATTTTTCAATTTGCAACATTTGATCTTTGTCTTTTTCTTGGTTTTATAACCTGAAAAACAAAGATACAATCAGATATTTGCTGAAATTGTTCAGCCCTTATTATGACTGTGCATCAGTGGGTGTCATGTCTTGACCTGCTTCCTTGTGTTCATGTAAACAGGCCAGTAAAAACCAGTATCACATAGTCTCTGGTTGTTGTGCAACTGTCCTTTATTGTCCTGGTTTTCTGCACTGTAAAAAAAAAAAAAAAAAAGAAAACGTTGAGAAAGGTCAAAAGGCAACAAACTTCAGTCGAGTTCAGCAATTTAACTTTAGAGGTTTTGTGTTGATCCAGCGCAGAATGTCTCCCCCTGTTAACTAAGAGTCACATATGGTTTTACATGTCCCATGAACTCAAATCCATGAGCAGTGGCTCACTGTTTCTCCACGAGTGGGGGGACTTGCACAGTGGTGGTGCAGGAGGTGGCGTGCACAGCTTTCCACAGCCCCTGGCTCCTCTGACACACAAGTATGAAGAAAGAGGAAAAGGTAGGATTGCTGGGGAGTTTGAACCTTGACAAACTGCACCCTGGGTTTTAAATAACATCTGAATGTTGGACTAGTTATTGGCATTTTTCAGTTTGCTGACATCTTTTAGATAAAAATTAGGTTGATCAGGAAAGTACTCGACAGAATGTGACAGCACTCGGCTGCACTGGGGGCCTCCAGGCTTTCCACTGGCGCAGCGTCCCGCTGAAAAGGCTTCAGACACACTTCACAGTATAATGTGAGGTGGATATGAACAGACTGAACACATGGGAGGAGATTTCAGTCTGTGACAGGTAACGGTGAGTGTCTGTCGGACCAGAAGCAGACTCTTTGTGGTCCAATGAGGTGACATAACCGTTAGCCTGTGGTTGAGCTCCTGCACTGTCGGGTCCCAGCCCCGCCTCTCTGCACTCACCTCTGTGTGACCTTGAGGCTGCAGCACGCAGCAAGACGATGAAGCTGCAGCTCAGCTTCCTGCAGCTGGACACAGACAGAGCACAGTGCTGCAGAGGGAATTCCTCTCCACCTCTACGGCCCCGTCCCCCTCGGCAGGCTCCAACTTACTGTCATAGGTGAGTCTGCAGATCATGTCTTGTCTATAAAGTGACAGAAAATAAGGAAAAGTACCTGTAACAATTTCCCAGAGACCAAGGTGGAGTCCTGGGAGCAGCAGTCCAAAACCCAGAGGTTCCCTTTGGCCCCAAAGAAAAGCATCAAGCTCTCTGATAAAAAGCTAGATTGACACAGATTTTGTTCTGGGTTAAAACGAGCCATGGAGCGGTGACACAGGACCCAGGAAGTCCAGTTGGAGGAACAGATTTATGTGTTTGTCGATTACTATCAAACCGGTCAGTGACCCCTTGTGCTCTGTGGATGGGGCGCCGTCATCCTGGAAGCGACCACTCACAGATTCTGATGCCTCCGTTCACTTCTCGCCGTCTGTATGTGATCAACCGTCCTTTGGGTTTAACGTGTTTCTGGTCTGGATGGTAGAACGGCTCCAGACTGTGGAGGTCCTGCTGACTCGACACGCTGTCTTTGGTGGATGAATAATTGAAGCTCACAGAGCTGCTGGATACTGTAACGGCAGCAGAACCACTCGGCTTACATGCTGACAATGGCCTCACATGGACCTGGACCTGCTGCAGCCTGGTGCTACAGTGTCTCACAGTCCAGGTCTGAGGTGGAAGAGCTACTCAGGTCCTGTGCTGAAGTAAAAGAGTCGCCTTCTTCTTTTTGGTTTTTCTTCATTTTCCTTTCTTCTTCTTCTCTTACTGATGTGCTGGTGGCCTCTCTGTTTGTGACCGGCTGTCACATGCTGACTTGATGTTAAAAGTAAAACATGGCCGTCTCGTGTGTCCGTAGGTTGGGGCTGCTGGGGAAGCTGAAGAGGATCATGTTGTGGCTGCTTGTCGTCTACGTCTCCATCCCCGTCATCGTCAAACTCTGCCCGTCCATCCAGGCCAAACTCGTCTTCCTCAACTTCGGTCAGTGTTTCCTCCACAAACCGCCACTGCTGGCACAACTGACTTATTTTATTTATCTGTTATTAGATATGTCAGTGACCTCTGACCTCTGCCCCCCTCAGTGAGGATGCCATACTTCATCGACCTGAAGCGACCCCTGGACCAGGGATTGAACCACACACACAACTTCTACCTGCAGCCAGAAGCTGGATTCAAGATCGGAGTCTGGTAACGCGCACACACACACACACACACACACACACACACACACACACACGGCCTGTGACATCACAGACAGGTTCAGGTGTGTGGTTAGCTGCTGACTCCTCACGTTGCCAAACCAACAGACACTTCCAGTTGATCTGGGTTTTAAATTGTGGGCACAGCTGAAACATTTCATCAGATGAAGAACGGTGTGTTTACGTCACCTGTCAAGTCCTGTCAGTGCATCGCTGCACTTTTCCAGTTCACAGTAGCAGCGTATTCCCCAGCTACTGATGTAAATGAGCTCAGCCAGCAGTGTTCATTTGAATGCACCTCTGCTGATAAGGACCTGGTGTCTGGGCTGTGCACGTGTAGACTGAGATGTAGCACAGAACAATGTGAGTTTACTGAACACTGGTTGAAGAAGCCAATGGAACTGCAGTCAGCTCAAGATCAGTTTGATGTGAAAGACTGTCACAGCCCCTCACATCCTCCTGTGGATCACACACCCCCGACTCCTTCCTCGCCTGTTCTTAACACCGACATCTCTGATGAGCAGCAGCCGCCGTGCAGGCACGTGTTAGACCTGCTCTCCTGAGCAGGGTGTTTCTGTTCACGTCCATTCTCTCCTCGCTCAACAGGAACGCCCTAGGCGAAGCTAGAAGATAAGACTTGTCACTGTAGATGCAACAACAAAGTCTGTCTGGCAGCTCTGGACTACAGCAAACATCAGGACACAAAGAAATAAAAGAAAATGACAAGTCCCAGTCTTTACATGACACAGATGCACACTATTTACAGAAGCAGTGCTGGAAGGCCGGCAGCAGCATCTCGTGGGGGGGCTGTGGCCGCCACAGAGGCTGATCCTGATCTCTGTACAGGAGGCACAGCCAGGTGGAGTCTGGGGAGTGTTGGCTCCCTGATAAGCCTGTTTATCAGGGTGTATCCAGGTGAGGCAGCTTGTGCTGCTGTGACCAGGTCTCTGCTGCACAGTGTGAGGGGGCGCTCTCGGCCGTGGTGCCGTTCGGACCTCCTGTAGCCTTCTGAGAAGACTTAAGCTTTTCTCTCTGGGTGGTTGTTTGAGATGTGGATCCCAGGCAGCGCTCCCCTCTGTCATCCTCTTCTCAAACTACATGCTGCTGAGACCAAACACACAACGTCCAGTTTCCTTGGTAAATACGTAAGAGTGCACGCAGTTTCACTGTCCAGTGCCAAAAAGTACCACAGTTCATCAACCTATGACAATAATCCACTGTGAAATGTTAAACATTAAGATGCTGCATAGCTCAGTAAGATGTGCTCAGCAGCAGGACTCTCTCTTTATGGATTCAGGAGCTACTTTAGTAACAGTGTTAATGAGCTATTCTCCATCGCTTACACTGAAACCACATTATGAACTGATCTGCTAATGTCCAGTGTGAACAGCAGGAAGGATCAGAGCTAGAAAACCAGCGTCACTGTCCATAGACACCTCACTGTCGTTTTGAACTTGTGCTTTAGGTTGCTGATTACACATCTAATCGGTTTTGGGTCAGAGTGCAACATGACTCAGCCTTGTGTGTGTCTGTGCTAGTCTGCAGCGTCAGATGCTGATTGCCTCAGGTGTGTGTTTGTTTCAGGCACACGGTTCCTGCGCAGATGTGGAGAGAAGCTCAGGGAAAACAAGGCGACTGGTACGACTCCATGTTTCTCTCCGCCCACCCTGTCATCCTCTATCTCCATGGAAATGCAGGGACCAGGTGAACCCCCCCCTCCCCCCTCTGTGCCTATAGCTATAAACCTGCAGGTGAGCAGCCATGTTGGTACAGAGCCGCCTCCTGATGCATGTGTGTGTCTAAAGGCGGCAGGCCTGTCCACACCCTAGCTCACCGGGCTCACCACGACTCGCCAGCTGTGTGGTTTGGTACAGATGTGGGAATGTATTACTGACACAGGAAGTGGTGGCATTCAGGATGTGGATTACATTACAGTGATGGTTCTGTAATGTAATATTTGGGATGAACGTAGCCTTTGTAAGTTAAGAGATTTCCCCAGGAGGTGTTTTGTCTCACTGCAGTGGAAAATGGCTGCCATGCCACCATTTTGATAATAATGTTGGCAGTGACTACTGTCAACGAGACATAATGGCAAATACTGCGTTTAAAAGATGAAGCAACTTGATCCAATTCCTGAAATGTTTTAGATTCTAAGTCACACATTATTATAACGGTGAAGAGCAAAATGTTGTAACATCTGTGAAATGTTGTCGCTTGGTTTTGTCATGAAAACACAAATCTGCTGTTTGACCTGAACCTGCTGCAGCAGGGCGGTGCAGCCTGGACGTGACGTGTTTATATCTGTGAGCTGCGTTGGCCACTTAGTGTCCTGCGTGGCCTTTGACTTGTCACATTGGTCGGACTGTTTACTGACCAGTTGTTGTGTTTCTCTGCAGAGGAGGAGACCACAGAGTTCAGCTCTACAAGGTGACGCACACACAGCTCTTAGTCTGGTTTATCAATACGTCTTATTGTGTTTACGCTCTCCTCCTCAGCCACTGTTAGTCGTCCCCGGCAGTGTTCATTTTAGCACCGTTTGTAAATTAGTTTGTCACAATTTAGTCAGTCGACAAAGATATTTGTCATCATGTTTGTCCTGCATGTTTAATGTTTGTACGGTATCTCCCAAGTGTTTTGATGCTCCAGCTGTCATCTCCTCTGTTACCGTGGTTACAGCCAGAACCGAACATTTAAGGCCTGTGCTGTGAACCTGATACACCTGTATCACTTTGTGGTGGCGGTCTGTCAAGGTCAGGTGACTGACTGCCTGCCTGTCTTCCTTCAGGTCCTCAGTTCACTAGGCTACCATGTAGTCACATTTGATTACAGAGGTGAGCAACTGCTTCATCAGCACATTAACAGTCCAGCTGCCTTTAACACTGACCGCGTGAACGACTTGTGTGTGTGTGTGTGTGTGTTTGTGCACAGGTTGGGGGGATTCAGATGGGTCTCCATCGGAGGGGGCAATGACCTCCGACGCGCTCTTCATTTATGACTGGCTGAAAAAGCAGCTGGATAAAACGCCGCTCTACATCTGGGGACACTCTCTGGGGACGGGGTAACACACACACACACACACACACACATTCATTTCAGTAGCAGTGATGTTCTAATAAAATGTGGTTGTTTTGTTTTGCAGAGTTGCCACCAACCTGGTGAGGCGGCTGTGTGACAGAGGTCTGACACACTCATCTGCACATCTCAGTCAATGTTATGTTGTCACTGATCTGTGTGTGTGCGGTCAGACATGTTTAGTTTGACGCTGTTCAATGTCCGTCCCCCCCCTCCCCTCCCCTGGTCTGTTATTTCAGTACTGACTTCAGTCGGAGAACTTACTGCTGTAATCGTTTACTGAACATGTCGGCCATCAATATTCAATCAGTGCACTAATATTTCTTCTTCTGTGTTCAGGAAGTCCTCCTCACGCCCTGATCTTAGAGTCTCCGTTTACCAACATAAGAGAGGAGGCCCGGAGCCACCCCTTCTCCATGGTAACACAACACACAGCCTGTCATTCATTCCACACACACACCTGGCTGCAGGTGTATTCAGTGCGTGTGTGTTTGTGTTTCTCAGGTGTACAGATACCTGCCTGGCTTTGACTGGTTTTTCTTGGACGCCATCACGGCCAACAACATCCGCTTCGCCAGTGATGAAAAGTGCGTAACCTTCAGCCTCATTCCTGTTCACAGTAGCACTGACCTTTGACCTGTAGTTCACTTCACCAGCCACGTTGTGAAGCTCCTGACAATGTGGTTCTCTTAAGAACTCAGGAACCCCTAAAGTTTTTTTTTTTTTTTTTTTTTTTACAGCAGTCTTAGAAGTTGTTTTCAGAAATTCACAACCTGATCAGGGACCAAGACTTTTACCATTTTTAGACTTATGAGCCCAGTAACACAAACACAATCATACTGAGGAAGGGTCTTCTGAAACTTTCTCTGGGCAGCTCAGGAACCTTTGTTTACACATTTGTAGAAACTGCACCACCTTGTGGCTGTTGGAGCGACAGCTGCAGCTACGCTCTTCTCCACTGTTGATTTGTGGTGCTACACAAACAAACACTAATGTAGAATGTCCCTGACTGTACTTGTCTCCTCAGTGTGAATCACATCTCCTGTCCTGTGTTGATCCTCCATGCAGAGGACGACAGCGTGGTTCCCTTTCACCTGGGCCAAAAGGTATGAGACCAGTTAACAGGTTAAACTTGGAGTTTTAAGAGTAATTTTTAAAAATTTTATTTAGCTTTTATTTTTATCAGGGAAACCTCAGAGATGAAACTTCTGTGTCCTGGCTGAAACAGGCAGCGGCAGTCAGACAAATGATGCAGTGACACAGATAAATCCATGAAAGCCTCCTTTTGTTTTGTTTCTGGCTCAGTGTCAGGTTGCAGGACGAGTCAGACGCCTCTGTGATGGAGAATTCACTCCACAGTCTAACTTCTGTCAGCCAGGCAGATACAAACTCTACATGCTGTTTGTGTCAGGGAGAACTCGGCTGCTGTGCAACCACACATACAAATGTGACTGCAGCATTTGATGTTACACTGAAGTCAGCAAATGACTTTGAGACTTGCAGAGGGCACTCGTGAACTTTACTTTGCTGTGGCTGAAGAAGAAACGCTGCATGTGAGGAGATCACTGAAGTGGTGGCCTACAGTGAAGCCTGTACTAACAATACACCCTCTTCTTTCTCCTGCAGCTGTACAACTTGGCTTCTCAGTCAAAGAGCCTCAGCGGTCACAAGGTCCGGTTCGTCCCCTTCCCCTCCTCTCTGGCCTACAAGCACAAGTTCATCTACAGGAGCCCGGAGCTGCCAAATATCCTCAGGTACCAGCAGCACACTCACCTTGGTCATACCAGTCAGTGGCTAGAGAGGACTCGCAGGGATGAGTGGGGAACTGCTGTTAGCTGGTGAGCTAACCGCTAACATGCTAATGAAGTTAGCTCCCCAAGCTAAGAAAGCTAGCTCAGCTGCTACATGGACAAGTTCAAGTTTATTCATGAGCTGGATTTGTTTGTTCTGAACATGGGGCAAAATTAAATCTTCACTCTGTAATAACTGAATTTATTATGACTGTTTAATGTTGCAGCTGGTAAAGGTGGAGCTAATGTTAACGGCCTTATCTACTTAACACCTGCCAGTGAAACTCTAGAAAGTCTTTGTCTATAAAATGTTACAATGAGCATTAGACCATAAACCTCATCACTTCACTGTCATATATGAAAAGAAAAGCATGAAACCATCACATGGAAGAAGCTGGAACCAGAGACTTCTGCCAGTTTTGCTTGAGAAATGACTAAAACTAATAATCACTTTTAAAAATTGTTGAACTGATTTTCTGCAGCTCCACTGAGCTGTAACTCGGTGTACGTACAAAAGAACCGTTGTTCTGTGCAGCCTGGAGAAACGTATGGCGTTGGAGTCATGCCTCATTCCTGAGCACACAACATGCACGCACACAGTTTATATTTCCAAGACATTATCAGTAAATGAGCACAAGCAAAGCTGAGCATTAATTTATGGGTACTAGCGAGGATGCACAGAACAGATTCCTGTTTGCTTAAACTAAACTGTTCTGTCTTTTTAATGTCTCTTTAAAATATAAACTGGGTGTGCAAAACCCAGCTTCCTGTGCCCAGGACTGAGGCACAAACACAGTGCGCGTTCAGTCTGGCTTTGATTTGTCCACACCTCCTGAGGACGGTGCTAACGCTAGTCTTTGTGTTGACAGTGATTTCCTGGGCGCAGCTCATCCTGTCGCACACTAGGAGAAACAGAAGGACCATTCAGCCTGAAGCCACACTCCCGGGTCACATCCTGCATGAACTGAACACCCACACACACATCATTCCCTTTTCTTCCAGTTAGCATTCCTCCGACACTGGTTCAGATCCCGGTGGAGGTGTTTCCAGAGTGTGTACAGGGAGGACGAGCAAACCAAGCTGACAGAGACGCGAGGTGAAACGTCTCTGGTTTTATATTTTTAATGTCTACTCATCACAACCACACGCACACGGAGCTGCTTCACAGTGTGTGTGAAGGGTTTTAGTTAGTTTTTCTTGGTGGTTTTGACTTTCCAGGTCCATCTAATCGTGTGCGACTCTTCTGTCGGTCTTAGGGTCTTTGTTTTTAAAATGTCTTCTCACTTTAAGGCCTGTTATGACTTGAATTGTGAATTAAATATTTTTGTCTGTGTACCTCTGGATTTGGTTTCAGGGACATTCGTTTTTTCCTCCGCCTGACATGAAAAACACAAACGCTGTCGTAACCATCTACACGCTTTATTTTCAGCAACAGACGTGAGCGCTCGTTACAGTGCATCGTGAAAAGTGACAAAACATTTGTAAGTCGGACTTGAGCCGTGTCTAACACCACAAGCGTAGTGTGTGCTGCACGTAACGTGTGGCGCACATCTTGCACTTGTATCTACACCGGGAGCGTGTTCACTCACAAATAGGAAGCACTTGGTGAACAAACGCACACAGAGGGCGGCACAGCGACACTTTGGGAAAGGGAAACGCACAGTCCAGCGATGGGACGATGTGACTTCGATATACGATACAATTAAAAGTTCACGGACCATGTGTGACCGGCTGTGCAGTACTTGTACTTTATCCCCCCTTTCTAGTTCTGGTCTGACCATGTAAACAACCGGGTTTAGAGAGTTACGTTCTGTTGGGCTGTTTGATTTACAGAACACGTGTATGGAGCCATACAAACCGATTCATTCTGTATCGTGATACACCGTCCCATTCCTAGAATTAACTGGCTACGCTGTTCAACTCGTACAATGCAGCACAGGACAGCTACACCCTTTAAAGAGGACGGCGTGTTCAGTAGGTCTGATGTTGCACATGACCGACCTGGTTTTAACTGAACTAACGTGTTTCCCTGTTTTGGTCGAGTTCTGGTTGGAACCCGTGAGCCGTCACTGCTCTGGAGTGGTTTTCACATGTAGCTCTGAAAAATCAGACTTTTGGCTAAAAATACACTTCATGAGTGACACGTGAGCGGAGACGCGGGCGGCGTAGACCGCTGGGCTCCTTAACATAGGAGCATATTGGTTACGTGGCTGAAACACTTACAATGTAGACACGGCTTGACATTCATGAGTAAACAGTGACTCTGAACAGACCCCATTACCCATAAGGCACCTGTGAAGTCACATCAAGGCCTTTTGCAGCTTTCACATCATGTCAGTTACCATCAATTCCAGTTTACAAGGTAAGTGCAGATGTCAAAACTGTAATTAAGCACTTTTGTAAAAGGCGCGCTGAGTAAGTTGACATTTTGAACCAGTTCTGTCATTTAGCGTAAATAAACCCAAACTTCGTGAACAATATCACTGCTGCAAAACCACAGTGAACTGTTGACACACAACTGTCGGTGTCTGATGATGTGAACATTTAAAAATCGTTTCCATTGCTGCTTTAATCACGTGACAAACGTGCAGATAAAGACTGGATCAATGGAGCACGTTTCCAATTTGACTTTACGTTAAACTGATTCATCAGTGCACGTTTCCTTTAACTTTCACTGAACTAATACAGCTTTTTTCTTATTTTCAGCAACAGTGGAATAAATTTAGTTTTAGTGCGAGCAAACGGAACATGCTTTACTACCCACCACGTCTCAAATGCAAAAAGTACAACTTGCTGAATGTTAATGTGAAAGTCATTTTGAGCTCGAGTAAATTAAAATCACTTAAGAGTCACTGGGTGACTGAGAATCAGCAGTAAGTGCTGCACATGAATGGGATGTTGGTTTTAAATCCAGCAGCAGAAACATTAGAGAATCTGTCTGAAGGCCAAATCACAATCATTTCAACTTTAAACATGTTAATTAAGTTGTACCAGCATTGGCGTCTGTGACTAGACCGAGTGGGGTTTCATGGGGACTTCTGGCCCACCTACATGTGGTTCTGCCAGTGTTTAGCACAAGCCCCACCAGCTCTGCCCAGTAAAGTGTCCACTCTGCAGCGAACCTTCAGTGCTTCCTGCACACAGAGCTCTCAGAAGTCCTGGGTATTGGTCTTAATACCGGAAAGGTTCAAATGATACAAATCTCAGACCATCATACTGCACCAGGGTCTGGCGATAAAAGGTCCAATAAAACGTACATCGGTGCATCCTGTGTTAGTCTTGGACCTGCCTGGATTAAAAACTGCTTAGTTTTGTGTTTTGGCCACTCAGGTGTTCTGGCATCCTGTAGCTTCATTCCAACTGTTATAACAGGAGTTTGTCAATCCTGAAAGTCACTAAAAACTAGGGCAAGCGTGATTCAGATCCCTGTGACAATGACTCTACCTTTTCTGCATTAGCAGGGAGATGCCTTGCATCAAACCAAGCGTTCCCTTTTCCTCGCTAAGCTGCGTTAACCAATAACCACAAAGCGATTTACACCCCAATCGCCAAGGGCAGGCAGACATGTTGGACTTGTTTTTGAATCAGTCTTCTCTGCCTGTCTCCATGATGCAACACTTTCCTGCTATTGGTTAACGCAGCTCAGCGAGGAAAAGGGAGCACTTGGTTTGATGCAAGGTGTCTCCCTGCTAATGCAAACACAACAGAATCATTGTCACATGAGACAGAATCACGCCCACACAACGATTTACCGTGCAGCCCTACTAAAAACATGTGTCTACACTGGAACATGTTATAAAGCTCCAGACTGAAGCCTGGTCTCTGTAAGAGGGCTGGTTGTTCGGTGCAGGAGTGTCAACACAGAACAGGACACAAGCGCCACCGTTTCAAAAACAAACAGGGAGCAGGACTGAGGACTTGTGCTACATACTGTTAGAAACACCTGCATTGGGGACGTTGTAGTTCACTGTTAGCACAACTCTGGGATTCTCTGACCGGGTCCTTGTCATGTTCATATCTTGTTTAGAAGACTAAAGCCTATAAATCTGTTAAAGTGGATTTAGGTACAAACATTACTTGTAAGAAAAAACAGCCAAAGTTCATGTGTTCTGGAGGACAACACCTTGCAGAGTGTGTGCAGTTCAGACCCACTGGGTTAAATACTTGCAGGACAAATCCTGATCAGTTACGGGACTCGATGGGCGGTTCGTTGGGCGGTGGGATCTTGACGTCAGAGGGCTCCACTCCCCAGATCTCACGGGCGTACTGGGAGATGGTTCGGTCGCTGGAGAACTTTCCAGATGCAGCGATGTTGCGGATCACTGTCCTGGTCCACTCCCTGGGGTTCTGCAGGGGAAACACTGGCTGTCAGATGAGTGAAGGACGGGAAACTCCCCCGGCCGAGTGCCCAAGATAAAAGACCAGGGCTGTACCTAACTGGTTACCTAAGTGGTTACCTGTGGGACACCAGTGCCCTGCTCTTCTGTTGTACTAGTGATGCAAGTACACAGCAGAACCCATGAACATTTCTGTAAACCAGTCTGCCTGTCCAACTGTGTCATACATTATTTAAAATAATATGTCCACATTTATTGCAAAGGTCTAAAGATAAAAATATGTTTGTTGTAATTTAAACTGAGGGTCCGAGGTAACGTCCTGTGAGCAGCTGGAACCAGAAAATATTTGGTATTTATTCACCGTTTCTGCTTGAAAATGTATAATAATGAGTATTATTATCCAAATACTTCCAATTTATTTTTCTGGTGATTAATGAATTAAAGCTACAGTAGGGAACTGAAGGTGGCGCAGCATGAGACTCCAGATCAGCCCACCCCGCTCCGCCCAGCTCGTCACTTAGTTGTCATAATGAAACTACAATAAATGAAAATGCAGCCAAATTCACTGACCAAGCAGAAATAATAGAAAATCTCTGGTCAGAGAGGTCGGTCCCACTCAAAACCTTTTAGAGGCTGATATCTCTGCACTGCTGCCAGCGCTGGTCAATGAGTCTGGGTCGCAGGAAGCTTTGATGGCACCTCTCCACATTAAGGCACGTTTTGGAGCAGATTTTTACAAGAGAAATATTTGAAGTGACATACTGCAGCTTTAATGTTTCAGCTTCTTTGATAAACAGCCAAAGGTAGCTGGAAAACATGGGGTCCTTTAAGTGTTGAACACTTCACTGTGGGATGTTGAAGACACTTGGTCTTGACAACAGGAAACAGTGGAGTGCTTGGTTACCTTGTACAGCTCACTGACTCGCTCCTGACATGCAACATAGGCCTCGTAGTCAGCAAACACCTTAAACCTGGAGGAGACGGTGAAAACGAGACTTCAGCATCATTGCACTGAGAACAAACGCCGACATTTCAGTGTGCATCATTTAGTAACAGAGCAGCCGTAGAAACCTCAAAGGTGACCGATCTTTGCTAACAGTTCTTGCAGTCTTTATGCTAAGCTAGGCTAAACACACCACGAGGACATGTCCCAGGATTCAGGTCTAAAACTCAGAGTACAAATGATCTATAACCCTGGCCTGACCCCGTCTGCCTGACGGGTTTTTACCTGTCGTGGTTCATCAGCATGTTGATCAGATCTCTGAAGAGTTCGGGTTGTGTGGGACTGAAGAAGCCACTCTGGATCTGATCCACAGCCAGTTTCAGCTCCGGCAGACGCTCGTAGTACTCCCTAGCGTTGTAGCTGCAGGTAAACGCAGGTGAACAGGAAATGAGGTGTTTGCGGTGACCTCTGACCTCTTGTCAGGTCAAACTAATCAGAAGCCCTCCTTGCTGATGCATTTAAGGACTCTGACATCTGGCTCTGCTGTTTCATTCATGGCTGCAGCTAATCAATGACTGTTAAATGATTGAGAAACTAATCAGGAGACGTTCCATAATGAAAATCTTTGCAAGGTGCAGGCCTGTTTGTAAAGAACTGTGATATCAGAGTCCTCGAATGCACCACGAGAGGAGTTCCTGCCCTCAAATACACCACAGCATCAGGCTACAGATGCTTTGTGCAGACAGGAAGTGCGAGCTCACCCCTTCCTGTCCAGCTCCTCCACGTCTGCCACCCTCATGCCGAAGATGAAGAGGTTTTCCTCTCCGGCCTCCTCGGCCATCTCCACCGTGGCTCCGTCCATGGTGCCGATGGTCAGAGCTCCATTGAGCATGAACTTCATGTTTCCTGTTCCAGAGGCTTCTGTTCCTGCTGTGGATATCTGCTCGGACAGGTCTGCAGCCGGGATCACTGGGGATCGGACAACAGCCACACACACACACACACACGGGCACGTCATCTTTGTCACTGTCGTCATCATCATCATCATCATCATCAGGAAAGCACAACTTCTACAGCAACTCAAAGTTTCACAGCCGGTCACTGGCCTCCGGGGGCCCGTGCCTCTGTGTGCAGTGACACATTTAGTTTGAAAGTTCGTTGACAGACACAAAACAACCAGAGCACAAAGACACAAAGTGATGACAAAAATACTAAACCATAACAACACACACACACCAACGACTGGGGCTCCTGTGTAGGAGTGTGTGAGGGGCCCTTTGTCAAAATCCACACGTGGCTTCTCCAGTAACAAAAACACAAGTTTGAAAATGTCACATCACGACAACTGACAACATGTGTCTCTTGGTTTGTTTTTCTGAATTCTGATGGCTGAGCGGTGAAAACACACGCACGCACACACACACACACACACACACACAGTGTGGAAGCGTGAGCAGGATAAACGCCAGTCTCTTCTTTACACCAGAGCTGCTGTTTGGGACATGTCGGTAGATCTGAGTGTGACTGGTTCACCTCTCTCAGCCAGAGTCACTCGGTAGTTTTCCAGGTAGACCACCTTCAGCTTGTCGCCCACCCCTGGGTCGTTGTTGACCACAAGACCAATCGAGGTGACCAGCTTGATGATCAGCTTCGCCATGTGGTAACCGGGAGCTGCCTGCGGGAGCAACAGGCAGTCGACTGTCAGAAAGCGGCACCTGTCTGTTCAACAGTGTCATTTTCCACGTGAAACTTCAAACCTGAACTTTGCAGTGAAACTCTGGTGACACTGCTCGCCGTTTCCTGAATTTCCACAAACCAATCAGTTCAGTGAAAACCAACCAATCAGCCACATGCTGCGTCCACTTCCCTGCATGAGCAGGAGAAGAGGCATCTGAAGACGGGTCTGTGTGGCGCTGTCCCAGCCCAGGCCAGCTGAAGACGTTCACATTTGACTACCCGGTCCTGATTATACTCAGATACTTTTACTTGTGACAGAGTGTATTTACTGCGTGTTGTTAGTACTTGTACTCACCTTCCCTCCGATCATCACTGTGCGCGGAACGAACGCCCTGTGAGGCTCCAGTTTGATCCCTGAAAATAAACAAGTGGAGAATCACTGAGCTGATGCCGACGCCTCCTGTTCCGCTCCGTGAACAGCAGCAGACGACACAGGCTGGAAGCTGTAGCGCTTCAGAACCTTCCTGACAAAAGGAGACGACTGGATCTTCACATCAGTAATGGACAAGTGCAGAGCTCAGGTGTGAGATCACCCACTCATGGTTTTAAATGAACAGTCGGCATTTAGCCGTGTCCCAGTCCAACCAGTGACACTGTCCGATACACATATGCGCATTAAGGTCGGAGCTATTTAGCAAACTGCAGAACAAACTAGTCTGAGAAGAAGAAACTGCCTATAAGAGCATCATTTCAACAGGAACAACTGTGCTGCCTGACAAATCCATACATTAAATAGGTGGCGGTTTAACTTGGCGTTAATGTGGTCGACATCATCAGTGAAACGCATGCCAGTTGATGTTCTGACAGTCTAGGCTGTATAGACGTATTTAAAAAAGAAAGGAAGAAGAGCTGACTGACAGTCGGGTACAGCCCTCGTCACTGAGATAAGATGCTTCAGGTTTTATCTTTGGTGAGTGCAGTGCACTTCTGTGGATCTTCATGTAAACTATAAACCTGGGGGGGGGGTCACTAGTCTTCCTGTGGTCTTCACAACACTGACCACTATAAAACATGTGCTGCAGGGCACTGCAACGGCCGGTTGGTCTTACGGTTGTACAGCGTGATGGCGTGCAGACAGGTGAGCAGCTGCCTCTTGTACTCATGGATCCTCTTCACCTGGACGTCAAAGATAGAGTCTGGGTTCAGCCTCACCTGGTTCTGTTTCTCCAAGTAGGAGGCCAACTTCAGCTTGTTCTCCTGAGAGGACAGACATGCATCAGAGGGACGGACGGGTAGAGGACAGACAGACAGGTAACAGGTACAGTAACAGATGTGAGGGCCGTTTCCACCTGTTTGACTTTGGCCACGTCTCTGATAAAAGCCTCGTCTTTGAGAAACAGCAGGATCTTCTGTAGCTGCTGGAGGTTGGTGAGGAAACCTTCTCCGATTCTCTGCAGAGGAAGAGGAGCCGAGTTTACACGGGATGTGACGACAAACAGCCATAAGCCTTTACAGTGTCGAGGGGAGACGTCTCTCTGTTTACACCCCTCCACTAACTCCTCCTGCTGCACAGAACGAGCTGCTGAGTTCGTTGGTGACTTCACCATGTTCTCTGTTGCTTTTAGTCTGCGGATGGCATTTGTACGGTGGCCTGTAGGTGCAATATCCAAAATTCTTTCTTCCATGAAAAAAATAAACAGAGATGCTGATTTTTAAAAATGCTCACCTTCAAAAATATTTTAAAAAATGCATCCAATTTAAAACGATCTGAAATATAAATAAAGAAAGAAATAAAACCCTGCCTCAGATTAAACAGCGTGCAGGCTAATGTGGCAAATGCTAAGAAGGGACATTAGCACCGCAGCTGAGCAGGGCCACCGCACACTCGTTGCAGAGGGCGTCTCAAACCCCCCGCATGCCATCAGTGCACATATGGGTCAGTGTAGTCTTTGGAAGCGCACACGAGGGTGCGCACCTCACTGCTAGCGATCGGCTCGGTAGTATAACGTGACGTCAGGGCTACATCTGAACGAACAGCCACACTGCAGTGCTGCGTGGATGTCGTACGGTGTGCGCTGCAGACAGACAGGTACTTTAATGCAGAACCCTCCACATCTCGTTACCTTGGATGTGCATCAGTTTAATAGACTGTCCGTCTTCTCCCCACACCTGCTTTAGATGACAGCAGACCATCATCTTGGTTGCCCATATACAGTAAATACCACAAACCAACACCTCCGCCTCCTTCTCCTCCTCCTCCAGTGGCAACTCGGCACAACCTCACCCTGCAGGTTTGAATACATTGAACACATGCACACGGCCGCAGAGGGTCCGTGTACGTAGTGATGTGTGTGTACCCCTGAGGGCCACACGCGTCTGCAGCAGGACCACGCTGTGTCCTTGTGGTCAGACAATAACAGTGATGCGTCTTTCTGCAGCCACTGTGGGACGAGGACAGACCGTCTGTCACTTCTTAGCTTTAGCTACAGCAGCTTGCGACCTTGGTTATTTGAGGCATGGTTTTATTTTTGAAAAATCATTTTCTAATGGATGAAAACATTTTCAATATCGTGCCTATGGACCACCGTAGGTTGGAGCAAAATAAACTAACAAATCACCAGCCTTACGGTTTATGAACGCCTTCTCATGACACCACGGGAGACAAATGTGACGTGTCAGCGTTGTGCCCCGCCCACACAGGTGGCTCTCAGGTGAGCGTGTACCTCAGCAATGACGTCCGCCAGGCCGGGGTTACACAGTAGCAGCCAGCGACGAGGAGTGATGCCATTAGTTTTATTCTGGAACTTGTCCGGATCCGCCTCGTGGAAGTCTTTAAACCTGTGACAAACAGTCCTGTTAGTAGAGCCACCGACCTGCTTTCATTTCAGGGCCAACATTCATGTTCAGCCCCTGTAAAACACGTCAGTGCTGCTTTATGGGACACTAGACTGTATTTTATCCAGGCTAAACCCAATCCAACTAGAAGCCCCGCCTCCACCGACCAGGCAACTGGTAGTTTACATGCACCTCTGTGCAGATTTAATCAAAGACATTAAGTGTATTTGTTTGGCAAAATGAAGTTGACCCCGTGTTGCCATGTGTCAGTGAGAAGCCTCAACAGGACTCCGCCCTGTGGTTCTCTACGCTGATTGGCTATTTCTTGCGGACTCACACTGTGGTCTTGATGATGTCCGAGTGAATCTGGGCGACTCCGTTGACAGCGTGAGACCCGACCACACACATGTGAGCCATGTTGATCTTCTTGGGGTCTCCCTCCTCGATCAGAGACATCCGACGCAGACGGTCCACATCTCCAGGAAACATGGCGGCGACCCTCTGTGGCGGGAAACACAGACACTGTAATAAACTGTGTGCAGCTCCGTCTGACAGGAGGAGTGGACAAGAAAAACCAGTCACTGTTTGTTTTGGGTGAAAGAATAAAGGTCTGTGCGTTTTGCAGTAGGATCTTCCACCCAGACAGTCTACTGTCAGCTGGGTGCTTTTCTTTTTCACCGAGTCACAGGAACCAGTGTCGTGTCAACGAGACCCGAGTAGAGTCGGGGGGGAGATGTGTGTATTCCTGTATTCAAGTTGATAGTGCACAGTAAAGTCTCATGTCAACCTGAGTGTCATACATCTGATTTCCAGTAGTTTCATACTGAGGTGTGTGTTGGTGCAGTCGAGCTCAGCAGACTCGGTGCAGTCACGTATGTTTGCAGGAGAGTTGAGTCAAGTAGAGCTCAGTAGAAGTCGGTCAGAAGAGTGGACCTATGTGTACATGTGTGTACTTCTGGATCTGAGGTCAGAGGTCAGTAGAGTCCTGTGCGTATTTTTGAACCCAAGTCAAACGTCATGTGTGGAGACATGTTTTGGGACAGAGTCCAGTAGATGACAGCGGGCTCTTACGTCCAGATGTCTCTGGTTGATGTCGTAGATGATGAGCAGGTGTCGAGGCAGCAGCCGCTCAAACATGTGGACCGGCCAGCGCTCCAACGCCTCGGGCAGCACCGTGTGGTTGGTGTAGGCACAGGTGCGGCAGGTGATGTCCCACGCCTGAACACATGCACAAACAGTCATTAAGATGGATGATGAAGGTCATATGGGTGAAAGCTCTTCATCGGTCATGTTGTCACTCTGCAGCTGTGCGACCAAGTTCAGTTACATGTGGTGCGTTCAAGGACACCAGGACATCTGACTTTTACTGCTGCCCTGATGAGCTGTTAGATGAAACCCACCTACAGACACACTCCTCAGTTGTGAGCTGAGCAAAGTAACCACACATTTACTCCACCAGTGTCCTCTCATACTGACAAGATACTGAAATAGTTGCCTACTTATTTTTACAGATGCTAACACTTGTTTCTAAAACCTGGGTTCACATTTTTCTTTACTTTGACACAAAATGTCATGAACTGATTTCTCCACCACCCTCTGTGAACCTTCGGATGAAACTCGAGGTTTCTGATGTCCGGCTGTCCACTGGGACAGATGTGCACCTGAGCACAGACACACCCTCTCACAGGTTACATAGGGAGTCTCCAACCTTGTCCCAGTCCAGCTTCTCCATGTCCACCAGGATCCGCATCAGTTCAGGGATGGCCAGAGCCGGGTGGGTATCATTCAGCTGGATGGCCACCTGACAGGACAGGGGAGGACATGAGTCACCACCACAGAAGAAGAAGAAGACACACGAGAAATAAGCGGAAGATAATCACGAGAGCACAGTGCTGCGAGACTGCCATCATCGTTCGGTGTCGGTCATTGTAGTAATGAAGTTACACAAGGAAAACCAACTCCTTTGTGAACATCCGAGTACAAATTCAGGGAGCTGCGAGTTCACCCGCTGAAGTAAGTGTAGAAGAAGAGCGGGACAGTGAGGCCCTCAGGGCCCGACCTCAGTCACCACGGCCACAGGCCAGAAAAGCAAGAGATAAATAAAGGGCGGCTTCTGCGCAGGAACAGGGGCTTTGTCTCCTGCTTCTCACCTTCTCAGGAAACGCATCGAAGGACGTTCTGATCGGGTCTCTGCAGCCAAACTTGGAGGACTTGAACCTGCGGATGATGTCCTGCAGCGTGGCGGCGACCACGAAGTACTCCTGCTTCAGACGCAGCTCCTTCCCCTCAAAGAACTGGAAACACACATCCACAGTTACTGACTTGTACTCACCGAGACTCTCCGACCGTCCACCAGTGAGAGGGAGACAGACTCACGTTGTCGTTGGGGTACAGGACTCTGGAGATGTTCTCAGCCAGGTTTCTGTCCAGAACTGCTTCGATGTAGTCTCCAGTGTTAACTGCAAAGACACAGAGTCGTCAGAGTCCAGACTGAGGAACCAGCACACACACACACTGCAGGTTCAGCCGCTCTAGCTTGTCTCTGGGGAACTGCTCTTCATGAGCGGTCCCAGTTCACTGCTGTTGCAAAGCGGTCGGCTCCAGCTACACGTGTGCCGGCATGAAAGAGGCGATGCACTTAATTACAGCCAAACTTAGCCCGGAGCTCAGCGGGACGTGAAAGGAAACGGCGGTCAACACGGGGGGAATCAAGGTTGTGCACGTTCATGCATGTAATCAAATCAAACTGAAGCACCTCACAGACGGTGAAGGGCTCACTAACACTGGTCACACTGCACACAACAACCTGTGTGTTGGAAACAGAGGGCCTCCCGTGGCCCCCAGTGCAGCGGTGTGGTTCACTGGGGGGCACAGAGCGATGAGCCGGACCAGGGTCTGGACTCCCACACATTACGCTGAGGACACCACGTTCACTGGTGCTGCTGGTCTCTGGATGGGGTTTGTGGCCTTAGGTTTTAAATCAGTGTTGTGGTGGTGGATCAGACGTACAGTTCTGCAAATTGAAGTCGTTTGGAGCTTTAGCCGACCACAGCCTCATCGTGTTCACCGTGTTGTTCCGGTAACCAGGTACTGGAGTGTCATAGGGCATTGCCAGCACCACCTGCACACACGCACAGACAGTGTGCACAACAATCATGATAAATATTACTGATGTGTAAACACTGCAGCCAAAACTGTACCACAGCACAGTCTGGAACCTAATGTGTCAGTTGACAAGTTGTAGTTGTGAGACTGTTTGACACATTGAAAACATTTTAATTCAACTTGACACCACACAACTCAGAGTCTGAGTGAATGCAGTCCCACCTGTGTATCCACCCACTTGACTCCGCTCTCGGTTTTCTCCACTCGACCATACAGATGAACTGGCAGCATGTACTCAGGCCGCGCCTTCTCCCAGGGGTTCCCATACCTCAGCCAATCATCTGCCTCCTCCACCTGAAGGGGGCCAAGCAACACATTAACCAATCACACGCCTGAAAAAAAAGGTATCCGTGCGTACCTGCCATCCGTTTCTGATCTTCTGGTTGAAGATGCCAAACTCATAGCGGATACCGTAACCGTACGCCGCCAGCCCGAGGGTTGCCATGGAGTCCAGGAAACAAGCTGCCGGAGACGCCAGGAGGGGACGTTGTTTTAATGTGAGGACAGTGTCAGAAAATGAGGACATTTGTGGAAATTTGGGACATGAGGCAGCACAACTGGTCGCATTCTAACTCTGCACATCTCGGCTTCGAGGAAGAATCGTGGGCTGGATGTTGCATTTTGTTAATGGTGAAGTAGAAAATGTGACCTCTGACCTGCCAGTCGTCCCAGTCCTCCGTTACCGAGACCGGCGTCGTCCTCCATCTCCTCCAGGTCCTCCAGGTCCAAGCCCAGCTACACACAGACAGAGGACAGTGAGCATCAGCCGTGTGAGTTGAGGTTTTTGTGTTAACTTCCTAGTTGTGGTGGAACAAGGAGGAAGTTGAAACTATGACAGGAAACAGTTGAGAATTAAAAACCATTTAGCAACAAAAACATTAAAGCTACAGTATCATCGTTTGCTGTTTTAGTTTGATTGTTTTCATTTTTAACGGAGCAGATTTATAAATGCTGAATATTCAGTTTAGTAACAACTGAGCAAAACCTTCAGACGAAGCTCAGACACCACAGTCTGGAAGACAAAGGCTCCACATCAACTCTAGTTCATCTGCACATATCTGTCACTGTCGGTTCAGTGTTGCACCGGGCTCCACAAGGAATGTGCACCTGATGTGTCAGCGGCAGCGCGCGCGCACACACACACACACACAGGGATAGGGGTGGTGTTACCTGGTAGATGGCTTCATCACAGGCGTTCTGCAGGCCCAGGTTGATCATGGTGTTCTGCAGTGCTCGGCCCATGTAGAACTCCAGAGACAGATAATAAACTCTCTAGACAGACATGGGACATCAAGTGATCAGAATCAGAACCACAGCACCCTGGTACACCACATGGTCATTCTCACCATCTGTGGCTTCTTGATTCACTCTGTGTGTAACATTCACACACAGAGACAAGTGACACGACTGGGGCCGACAGCTACAGAGTTAACATTTCACTTTAAAGCCATCATGGTTCCAGGTTCTTCTGCTGTTCCTGCACAAAGATATGTCTAAACCAGTGACCCTAACTGAATTACTAAGGGAAGTCTGCAGTGGCACAGGGTGAAACCTGTGTAACCGGTCGCCTTTGGGTCTCTATACCCCGGTTACACCTGCACAGAGGGAAATGTGTGCTCATCATCTCCTCTGCTGGAGGGAAACAGGCCTACAGCTGGTCTCAGACTAAATGTGGTTTGTTTATGGTCATGACCACATAATAATGATGCTTCAGCCGATTTGAACAACCGTGATTCAGCTAATATTAGTTCTTTGGCCGATAATCAAGGAAATATTAAACCTTCAAGGTAACTCAAGAGGATTTCGTCTCGGTTCCTCCCAGAGACGACCACACAGTGAATCTTGAAAACACAAACATTAAATTAAAACCTAATAGTAAAGCGAGTTGAAGCTGCCAAACGACTCGACTGAGTTCAGTCCACTTCTATTCATCTTGCAGAGAGAAAGTCGAGTCAAACTCCACTGAAAACACGTGACAATCTAATGTTGTCGCGCACATAAACAAGAAACACACGATACAAGACATTTTTATTTTGGTATGTTCTCCCGATAACATCGCTACATCAGCATATTTGGGCCAAATCCGATAACAATAATAACAATAATAATAATAAATCAATAACTGCTCCACAACACAATCTACGCCCACTGCAGGAGTCTCGACGCACGGAAACAGTTTTCAAACTTCATGTCATACCAAAATAAACAAACCATCGTAGGTTAAACTTAAGACGAACTTATGTCTGGCTCTCGAACATCAAACCAAACAAACGGTCTCGTGTTTTCATGTTTGTAAATGTTTGTGGAAAGTTGGAAACAACATATTTGTAAGTGGAGCTCAGGGTCAGTTCGGCACACCGGAAACCAGGCTGTGTTAGCGGGTTCCTGCGCTACCTTGGGGTCCTTCTCATAGTAGTACTGCTGCGTTCGGATCCAGCGGCCCACCAGGTGGTCCCGGACGGTGTGGGCCAGAGCGAAGTAGTAGTCTCGGGGTGTGGCGACGTTCCGGTCCTTCACAAGGGTGAAGTGGAGGTGTCGGTTAAAAGTGCGCTTGATCTCCGCTACGTCGCCGAGCCCCGCGATGCCACGAACACTGATCTGCTTCCGCTTCTCCTGGTCCGTCAGTGGCGTCGCCATGTTTCCACAAAAACAACCGCAGAAGGAGCGTAGAGACTGGACTGCAAAGAACACCTGGACGATAGAACAGGAGCACAACGTACCGCCACGCCCACTTCCCAAAGTGACAATAGGCGGGGCCAAATGTGGTCTAACCAAAAAGGAGCTTGGAGCGAAGGAAGATGTCTCACTCTGATTCTGTTTCTAATTACAATCAGGGGTCCATAGGACAGAGTCTCTGACAATCTAGCCACAGGGGTTTCAAACCAGTGACGTCTGTGCCGGTCCCAAGCCCGGATAAATAGAGAGGGTTGCGTCAGGAAGGACATCCGGCGTAAAAACATGCCAAATTTAAACATGCAAATTGAAGGGGTAATGTTGAATGTAGTCAGTGGTTATGCTCCACAAGTAGGGTGTGAGTTAGAAGAGAAGGAGAGATTCTGGAGTGAGTTAGATGAGGTGATGGAGAGTATTCCAAGAGGGGAGAGAGTGGTGATTGGGGGAGACTTCAACAGGCATGTTGGTGAGGGGAACAAAGGTGATGAGGAGGTGATGGGCAGGTTTGGTGTTAAGGGAAGGAACCTAGAAGGACAGAAAAGAAAGAATGCTGTGAGGAATTCGGACAGAAGTTGAGACAGGCTTTGGGTGGTCAGGAAGAACTTCCAGATGACTGGGAAACTACAGCAGAAGTGATCAGGGAGACAGGTAGGAAGGTGCTAGGTGTGTCATCTGGAAGGAGGAAAGAAGATAAGGAAACATGGTGGTGGAACGAGGAAGTACAGGACAGCATTCAGAGGAAGAGGCTAGCTAAAAAGAAGTGGGACGTAGAAAGGACTGAAGACAGTAGACAGGATTACAAGGAATTGCAGCGTAGAGTGAAGAGGGAGGTGG